TTTTTTTTTTTGTAATAAAAGAACCTTTGATATATGATAAATTGATATTTCCTCGTTCACCCCCTCTCTTTGTCTATCCCTTTCCCCTTCTATGATTCTATCATAGCATCCCGCGTCAATTTGATCTTGATAGATAATTCCACATAGACCTGCTGCCAACCAACTATTTGACTATATTTTTGGACTGGGATAGGCCTTTTGCATGGTTAATTCTACTTGTGATTAGATGTTGTTATATTGATTTGTGAGTTCTAGTTATTTTTTTCCCGAGTAATCATTGCTGATAGTATAAAGTGAAAAGAATAAAGTGCAAATACATAGTTTTGCGGGATATTTTCCCAGATTATAGTGCAATATATTGTGGTATAATGGCATGTTCTTTTAGGTTTTTCAAGTAGTGTGGATGTTTTCTTAGCACAGTTCCTACTACAGGTAGTCAAGTCTTTTTTGTCGTGTTGTTTTGTGTTGCAGTCCCGCTCAGTATATGTAAAGAACCTGAATTTCAAAACATCGGATGAGAACTTGAAGAGACATTTCACCGAGCATTTAGAGAAAGGAAGAATACTTAGTGTCAGGGTAGGTCTTTCTTTGTCCTTGTCAGCTTTTACTACTAACAATTTAGTACATTTGATTATTGCATTTACTGCTGTTGTCATTGGTGCTCTATCTTCTATTCGTTTTAATTCTATCTTAGGTGAAGAAGCATCCGAAAAATGGAAAGAAAGTTTCGATGGGTTTTGGTTTCATAGAGTTCGATTCTATTGATACAGCAGTGAATGTTTGCAGGGATTTGCAGGTAATCTTCTGAATTGTTGCTTGTTTTGGTCTAATCTTCTGAATTGTGATGAGTCTTCATGTGTTTCTCACGTTCTCCTCCTTTTGTATTACCTTATTATTTATCTCCTCAGGGAACCGTTTTGGATGGGCATGCCCTCATATTGCAACTTTGTCATGCTAAAAAGGATGAACACCACCATAAAAAAGTTGATAGTGACAAGAGTTCAACAAAATTGATAGTAAGGAATGTTGCTTTTGAGGCAACAGATAAAGATCTTAGACAGCTGTTTAGTCCATTTGGCCAGGTATAGTCTCTGATTTTTTGTTGTGATGAAATGATTCCGTGTTCTTTATTTTTGTGTCAATTATGTTTTGAAGCGATGAAATATGATGTGTAGATAGTTCCCAACTTTTGACTGAGGACTTCTATGTTAGTTGATTAAATATTATTCTATGAATGTCTCCTTCTCAATTGCCTTCTAACTTGTACTTCGATAATTTTTTTGGCTACTTGGA